TATATATATATTCCATATAAACATCATGCAGTACGATGTATGGTAATGCAACTGAGTTGTATACACTGTACTGTTACCACACCCAGCCATTCATGCTCAGTTGAACCCTATACAAAATTTACATGCATAAAGCAGCACAGAGGGAACATTTCCTAGCATTTTCAGCCCCTTTTGGTGGATTATATCAACATTTCTCTTGTAAAAAGTACAATCTTTTATAAACCAAAAATGGACCAAAATATATTTTTGTGGAGGTTAAAATTTTCTGTTTCATAGTTAAGGAGTTTACCAATTGTTTTGATGTGTAGTGTGGCCATGGATAAGTGTACAGTAGACTGTGATGCTGTTTTGCGTAAGTGTCTGTTCCAAGGAGCTGGTCATCCATCAGACAACACGAGGGTTTTAAGTTGGTCGTCTGAGGAAGTTTGTAGTTGTCTCAGATTACCTTTAAAATTCAAGTGATGGAGGGTTATTAACCACGACATTTTATTGTTAAATGATACATGCAGTGTTCCTTGGATGTTTTAGGTAGACCAATTGCAGTTGACTTTTCACTCCCTAAACTCAAGTATAAAGAAATTGCAGAGAAGTCAGTAGAGCAGCAACAAGAAACTAAGACAGAAAACTGTAAAGGTGATTCAGAATCAGAAGATGGTGAAAACAATGTTTCAGACAATGAGGATGAATCTAATAAAAGTGAAAGTGAGGATGATGATGAAGAAAGTAGTACATCAGAGGATGAAGGGGATGAAGATGATGATGAGAAATCATTAACAGAAGAGCAGACTAGCAATGGACCAAATGATAAAGGTAAATTTAAAAGTTAAAATATTCATTTTAGTAAAACATTTAATAAAGCATATATTTTTAAAATAACTTTTTGAATACAGGTTTGTAAATGTCTGCTTATAATGACTTTTTTACAGGGTCACATTTAAAATTTAATTGAACTACATTATTATAAATTTATGTTAATAAACTTGGTATAAAAGTGTAGATAATAAATCAACTTATTATAAAAATTCTGGTTTCTGAATTTCAAAGTGATTTATTTAAATAAATTCTCGTTCTTCACTTCTCTATTTCATGTTACAATTGTTCACTCTCAATTGCCTAATTTAGATGTTCTATGCATCCCTATTTGAGCTTCTGAGTTGTATACAAACTACTAGCTTTTAGTATGGATATTTTTAAGACATAATCTAATTTTTTAGCCTCCATCATCTTTATTTATAGAGATATAAACCAGAAAGTCAAACCCACCTGCAACATCTTCCTGCCACATACTTTCAAAAATGTCAGTTATTCTTATTGACATTTACTAATACGTTATTTATAGCCAATAGAAAGAGAATGTTTTAATTTACTGAATTATGTAATAGGCTAGCTCTTTCTGAGAACAGCTTTTGAATTATTTGGCCTATGGATTCAAAGTTACTGCCACATTGTTCACCTCAGTAATGTAAGGGAAATATTTTAATACACTTATGGGTTAGTTAGAAAGCTGTTAAATTATAATAGCTATAGGATATTATATTCTCTGTGCATGCCATACTTTTTGTTCCTAATTGAATAGTTGAAAGAAATAAAGAATCTGTAAAGCACTAACAATAACTCAAAAATTAGAGTTAGCTTTTAATGAAACTGAACTGCAAAAAAAAGTACACATCCCACACATAAGTACTAAATGTCTTGTTTTTTTGTGTGTAGATTTTGATTATTGTTATCAAAGTAACTAAAATGTAAAAATGAGGAACTTCTTAGGTTAGATAAATAATGATAAATGAAAAAAAAGTTAAATAAAAATATTTCTCAGCAAGGTATGCATGCAAACTGCTCATGTATTACATAAATCAATACTTTGTTTTACAGTATACCCACTGAGTGTTTATAGCTTTGTTATACATATTTAGTAGTTAGACATGGTTCAAAGAGCATTAAAACAATAAAAACAAGTGTAAATTGTTATGCGTTTGAGGCTATTTTTATATTTTTTGTGGTGTTTACAAGGTTGGTCAAATAGGCCAAGCCCCATGTTGTGTTAGGATAAAGAAACTAATGGATAAAATATAAAGTTTTACTAAAAATAATTTATGTTCATTTAGGAAATTGCAAAAGAAATTTTAAAAACTGTAAGATGAAAAGTATTTTTAACCTTAAATATGAATCTTGTGCTCAGGTCTCAGTCAGACCATGACTTAATAAAATCACAGACAATTATTTAATAAAAATACTTAATTAAAGAATCTGATTTTTTCTGTGCATGAAAGAGCCATAATGTTTACTAAAAGCTTACCAAATTTCATGGTTACATGGTGATTAGAAGGTCAGTCAATGTGGCTGAGCTTGTATTTCATGTGATTATAAACCATTGTGTGTATATTATGACATTGATTGAGATCATACTACTGATTAAAGTGTAAATTAATTGTTATCTCTCTTGACTGACATAACACAAACTTGCCAAGTACAGAAAGCTAGTGAAAGATGTCAAGCATTGGCTTTAATTTAGATTTCCATAAGAATAGTAAGAATTACTAGTATTGTACATTATATTATCAAGAAATGTCTTTTATACTAGAAATTAAATTTTTAAGTTATTTCAATAAATTGAACTTGGTTGGATTGTTTACAAGACTTTACAACTTTAGTTGATGTACATAAGACTTGTGCATTTTTACCCTAGTAAACTGCTAGAATATAAAACATAGTTTTAAAAATGGGAAAAATTAGTGATATTCAGTGTTTTAAGCTCAGATATAAAAACTGAATTGTATAGAATGTAAACTTTAATGTGGTGTTTTATAGAAAACAAATCTTATCAAGGAAGAAAGGTGGATGCCCAGTCATCAAAGGACATCACTGAGGGAAGAACTCTCTTTATTCGAAACGTTGCCTTCAGTACAACAACAGAGACTTTGAATGAAGCAATGACTGAATTTGGGCCAATTAAATATGCTGTTCTATGTATGGATGCAATAACAGAACACCCTAAAGGAACAGCTTTTGTACAGTTTTTAAAAAAAGATGACGCAGAAAAATGTTTGAATAAAGCTAATGATGAATCACAGGTATGCATTAATTAATAAAATATGTGAAATAATTCATCTGAGTTTCTAGTGAAAGAGTAAATAACATCCCAGTCTTTGAGAGAATTTAATATGATAGTAATGTTTTGTTTATCAATCTTTATCATTTGTGTTGCTGTCGATCTACACGGTATTTTTTCATCATCAAATATAATTTGTTTTTTTTATGTGGCATTTAATTAAAGTGTGGTGATCAGATAGAAATTGTTGTCATGTTTAATAGTTATTAAACATGACAGTGATGGATATTCGATCGACACAACCTTTCCTTAAGGCTTAATGACCCAGTATGTCCATGTACTGTAAATTAGTTAAAATAAATAACTATCTCACCTTCCTTCATAAATGTAAGTAAAGAATCTGTAACAGAACTTAAAGAAATGTACTAAGAAATCAACTGTACTAAGAAATAACAAAATACTGTACCCACTTAGATGTAACTATAACCATAAAAGCTCAGTTTGCAGCCTACCAGCAGAAAAATAATTCAGAATATTAAAAAAGTCAGTAGTCAAAAAAGCCATGAAATATAAACCTCATTATAATATCACCCTGTCAGAAAAAATAAATGCCCACAGAAACTTGAAGAAAAACAACACCATAACAATTCTACAGCAGACAAAGGGAATGCTAGTGTACTCATCAATTGAAAAGGATACTCTGTCAAACTCTAAACTCAAGTTGACGATGGCCACTACATGAAGATAAAATCTAACACAGAGAATAAAATTACTTTCTCATGAAACATGAGAACAAATTTAGAACAAAAACAGTCAAACAATTGATAGTGCCTAACAGCACCACCCCACACATCTATAGTTTGTCTAAAATTCACAAACAAGGCTTACCCCCCCCCCCCCAACTCTGTCTCATAGTGAACTGCTGAGGTTCACCATACCATCTCTTAGCTAGATATCTGGTAGATATAATATCATCGTCTACAGGTAAGATATCCTCATACATCAAGAACTCAGTCCGTTTTGTGGAGGTTATCAAAGCAGTCACACTAACCTCACAAGACACATTAATGAATTTCGGTGTATCCAACCTCATCACTAATGTACCAACCCTCAACAAATGGATAAATGTAGAACTCTTAACCCTTTCACTGCAACTGGGACATACATTTCCCAGTGCTCACACTGCGACTGGAACAAATGTTTCCCATTGTCATTCAAAATTGCCACACATGACGTATGGGAGTAAAATGAGTTTGAAAGTATTTATTGGCATCCCACCTAATGTTGATATATGGTTTCCCTCAATGTTTTCCATTCAATCCTTCAGTAACTAACAAGATGCCTAAGCGAAATGTATGACAACTGTGTGCTAACCATGCCCACATTACTAGAGTGGTGAGTAGTAACCCTAATTACTATGTAAATACGCTTGATTTGCTTGACTCAGATAGTTTAGAAGATAGTGAAAGTGAATCAAGTGGTGTTCAAATGCATGATGATGAAGAGGCAATGAGACAAGAGAATGCTAGCTCTCCATCTAGTGATGATAGTCAAGATGATGAACCTGGACCCAGCAGAGGAAGGCATAAACAGTGTCAACAATGAGAAACATTTGTCCCAGTCAAAGCGGAGGGAGTACTGGGATACATTGTCCCAGCCACAGTGAATGGGTGACGGAATGTACCCAGCTGACAATCTCCACAACAAATGTAACTCACAACTTCTTTCCAAATTGATGATAACTGCTACCAACAACAAGAAGTTCTAACTTTGGGCTCACCACTATCTCTAGTACTCAGTAACATATAGATGGAGCATTTAAAAGTTAATACCTTCCTCAATCTATGCCCCTAGATTTGACACAGATATGGGATGATACCTTTGTAATATGGCCACACACTGCAGACAAGATTTAAGAGTTCATGAACCACCTTAACAGACAGAATCCTATGATACAATTCACGAAGCAAATAGAAAAACATAAAAAACTCCCATAGACATGATGGTTACTAGACACATAACTCCTATATAGTTTACAGGAAACCCACAATACTGGTAGATATACTGACTATAAATCAAACACCCAATAGTTTATAGACAGGCATCATAGACTGCCTAGCTTCCAAAATGGACAAGATTTGTAATAATGAAAAAGCTTCTCTGAACTTCTCTGAAGGTGGCAGTAAATTAGTAAAGATGAAACATAATAAAAACTAGTTAGTCATTAGTATCTAATTATAAAAAAACAACAGAAAAACATTTAATCTTTACTAGATCTTCTCCTTCAGTGAAATGTCATGCACTTGATTTGTTTTTGTTTGATCTTTGGTTCCTCATGTAGAGTGTCTTGCAACCCATGGAACTAAACTTATTGTATGAAATAATTTTTTCATCACAATTATTTTTCTTTTGGTCTATTTATTCTCCCTAGACAAAGCTAGTGAGAGAGTGAAGTATGTATTTGTTTTATTAATCTGGTCAGATACTACTGAACTTTGGGGAGTAATTTATTTATTTTTTGACTATATCTACAAAGGTTTATTGGATTGTTATTGATAAAATTGAAAGCAAATATGCCTTTCCACATTGGTAAGAAAATTAAAAGGATTTCAGAACAAGTTTTTTAATGGTAAGATACATTGTGTTTTACCCTCATGAGTAATTTTGACTATTAGTAATTATTCAGTTGTCTAAAATAATCTCGGTCCAACCATTGTTTCAATTACTTTTGTAAGATATTAGCAATTTAGTGCAATATAAGAATCCATTAAAATGTTAATCTCATTTGTTTAAGAATTGTGTTAACTTTTTCAGTGCCATGGGCCATAGTTTAATTATAAGTATGAAAAACATTTCCTTGTTTGTATTTATCATGTTTGTATGTTCAATTTGTTGTGAAAGCATATATACATTTGCAGATGTTTTTATTGTTTATACACAGTTTTGTATCTATTATTCCTTTACTTGCTCTAAATTAAAGTCACAAGAAGCTGTTATTTATATTAAAAATTAAATCAATATTACACAGATTAAAAAATGATGGCTTGAAGTACCTCAACCAATTGTTTTATGTTTTACTTGTGTGTATTTGATCATTAGAAATTAATGTACTAAAATGTATTCTGTTCTGATTTAAACAGTTTTCTGTTTTATCTTAGTAAAAACATATTTGTACTATTCAAGCCTTTGAGGTTAGAATTATTTGAAATCACAAGTTTTACATTAAACCTAGACTGTTTGTAAATTGAAGAATTCAATTCATTCTTAATACTTTTGGTTTAGAATGGAGGAATTATTCTAGATGGAAGGAAACTCAACATTTCCCTTGCTCTCAGTCGTACAGAAATACAAAAGAAAATGCAAGAGAAGCATGAAAAGAAACCAAATGATCGTCGGAACCTATATCTTGCTCGAGAAGGACAGGTACGAGTTGGATCAATGGCTGCTGAAGGTGTGTCTCAGACTGATCTTGCAAAACGAATGCAGGTTGGTATAAGATCATATTTTACTAATTTTATGTTCTTGGTTCCTGATGGGACTTTTAAGAAAATATGCTTATGGTGCTCATTGATTTACATTTTCAACAATGACTGTAATTGGTTTTTAATTTAAAAAAAAACTTTAAACAGTCAGAACTGGTTAATAAAAGCTGGTGCAGTGTTATTGGATGATACAACATAAAATACATATCTTCAATAATTTTAGGAGGAATATATAAAAAATATTTGTTTGTTTAAAGCAGTGGTCTGTCTTTTTTTTTTTTTCTAACCATGAAACAGTGAAACTACCTCAAAGTAAATGTAAAATTCCTATAATCTGTATACCTGATTGGTCATTGTCTGTAAAAAATATTTATTTAGATGATTGAGTTAAATTAGACCTGGTTCTAGTACAAAGTAAGCATTAATAATTAATATATTGTCCTATTATTCATTTGCACATTATATTGATGAGAATCTATGCATATAAAGGGACTTCCATTTTTCTGTTACCACAAAAATAAAATAGTTGTATTTATCTAAAGCCAAACTTCCAGGCTTTATTTGCCAAACCTTAAAAAAATTATTATAAATTATTTTGGCCTCTTTTTATTTTTATTACCTTCAGATAATTACACTGTGTTTACTATGCTTCAACTTTGCCAAATTTTAAACAAAAGATGACAATATCTGTATCTGTAGATCAGTCAGTCCACATATTGTTTTATTGTTACTTAGATTAACTAGATAAGAATTGTAGGAAATTAGTTATCAGGTTATAACGAAAGTTCTGACCGATTTTCAAATGAATTTAGACAAACAAAATAGTGTTGATTATAGATGTATTTAATCATCAATATATTCTCCATTGCTTTCGATAACCGCGTTTATAAAATTCCTTAGGTTTTGACCAGAAATAAAAGATTAACTCATTTTCGACCTCCTCTCTTGAAGTTAGTCTAAGTCCATCCAAATGATTTTGTAAACTCCTAAACAAATGATCATCAGAAGGAGCAAGGTTGAGAGAATATGATGGGTGAAGCAATTTTTCCCAGCCAATCCTTGGTTACTCGTGCGGTATGGGAACATGCATTGTCATGGTGAAGAATGACCCCTTTTCTGTTTGGTAAGGACGGGCGTTTTTTGTCCAAAGCTGTTTTCAAACGCCACAGTTGTTGGCTGTAAACCTCTGCTGTGATTATCTGCTTATTGTTTAACATTTCATAATGGACAATTCCTTGCATATCCTACCATACACTCAACATGATCTTCCTTGGATGCAAGTCCCCTCTTGGCTGCTGGGCAGGTCTATCACCAAGACTAAGCGACTGATGATGGCGCTTAACATTATAATAAAGGATCCATTTCTCTTCCCCAGTAACAACTCTGTCCAAAAAAGGCACTTGGTGCTGATGTGAATGCAATGCCTAACAGTAATCGACACGTTGTTGGCGATTCTCTACAGACAGGTCGTGTGGGACACATTTTCCAACCTTTGACACTTTTCCAAGCCTTTTCAGTTCGTGGTGGATGGTCATATGTCTAACATTGAATTGTCTGCTAAGATCCCTAACTGTAATGGCAGGATTTGCTGCAACAGCTGCTTCCAGTGCCTCTGGATCGAGTCCACTTGGACAACTTTCTCTTGGCTCATCCTTTAAACTGAAGTCCCCATTTCTGAAACGGGAAAAACCACCTCCTACAAGTTCTTTCACTTACTGCATCTACACCATAAGTGCTCTGGATAGATATTCCTGCTGCATTTGCGTTGACCCCTCTATGAAACTCGTAGAGCATGACATGACGAATGTGTTCTTTAGTTGAATCAAACATGGGGTCAGTTTGAAAGTGTTTTATTGAATAATGTTCCTATATCCTGAAAGTAAAAGAGCTGTATTACTTATGTGGGCATGACTAAACATCAGATAGAGATAGAACTTAATTAAATCTTGTTCAACATTTTTGGATCAAAAATCGGACAGAACTTTCGTTACAACCTGATAATTACAGACTTTCAGCTGAGTAAAATCAAGTTTGTCTCTACTCCAATCTGGAAATTATAATTACTAAAAAGAAGCATTTTGATTCAACTCAATTACCTGTAGGATAAAAGCTTTCATTCTTGATTTAAGAAAATGTCTTAATGTGTGTAATAATGAATTACTTTTATGTAATACAACTAATATAGTTAAAAACCTGTAACCTCTTAACTGATTAAGCAAAAGAAAACAGTGTATTCTGAAATGTTTATACGGTTGTTTTGTTTGGTCTTTTAAGACACTTGCATGTTGATAAGTCTTGATTTTATAAGTTTTTTGTTCATGATTTTAATTTACAACCTCTGACTTTACTTCTCAGTACTCGCTCTATTTCAAAAGAATATAGATAAAAAGATGCAGTTACATCATGGTAAAATTTAAAAATATATATGAAAATAGTTGTAAGGAAAAGAAATAATGATCAATATTTGAGCCAAACAACCATCATTGAAGTAAAAAAGTTGTAATGCTAGACTTAACATAGTTGCCCTTGTTCATATTATGTATACATAATTATGCATTTTTATTTCTTGAAATATAATGAATCGGTTAAATATAGCTATTGTTTTCACTCCTGTATGTGTGAGAAAAATATTATCAAAAAATTCTCATTTGATTTTGATAATATTTAGTACAATGTTTGGGTGTACCCCAAGAACCAGTTGATTAACTTTTAATGAATGTTGGTTAAAGGTCTGGGTCACATTGAATGTCAACTATGTAACTTGGCAAGTTTTTATCTGATTTTGATATCAAATTTCATACAAGGGTTGAGTGCACCCCAAGGACCAATTGATTAAATTTTGGTGAATGTAGCATAAAGGTCAAAGTCACTCTGATGGTCAACCAGTTTTGTTATAATGGTAGCAAATTGTGCTTTTAAAAAATGGTCAGAATTCTTAAAAACATGAGATAGAATATATTGCACCTAGATTGCATTTTTGAGGATGAGGTATTGTTTGGTGTATATTTTTGGTTGGTTACTGCATGAATCAAAACACATTGTGAGGCTTGTGTTTCACCCTCTCACTTCCTATATAGTTTTTCTTTTGATAAGCTTAGTGCTAAATAAGTTACAAAAATATAAAATTATATTATAAATTACTGTCATCAACGGAAACATACTAGTGATGTTAACATAAATGCAGCAATGATACAATGTAAATAGTGTATATATTTATAGTTTACTGAATAATCACCTAATGATAATTGGTAATGTGTTTTACTTGTATTTTTAAAAAAAAAAATTATCAAATGGGATTTTGTGAAAAAAAACTGATTATAAAGTTCCAAAGTATCCATTTGTATAGCTATCTTTCTGTTACCTATATGACTAAGCTGAACTTAGTAGTTCTTTGAAATAGGAAATAAATTTGTTTAAATTCTGTGATATGCAATATTTTGATATAGAATTTTGGTTTGGTTATGTTTGATAATGTTAAAATGCTGCAGTTTTTTTATTTCTGTATATGATGTATAAAAACATTACGTGTTGAATTAGTAGAAGTGTCTATTCAATTGTACAGCTACCTGGTGCTAACTAATTATATCAGGAGAGTATAATTTTATGAATAAACATATAATATTATTTGTATTTTCTTCATTATTGTAACAAGAATTAATAAATGAATTATGTAAAGAAGGTTATAGGCATTGAGCTGTTTATTCAGATCTAGTTTTCTGAAGGTTATAGGCATTGAGCTGTTTATTCAGATCTAGTTTTCTGAATATTAATCAACAAATATTATTTAATATGAAGTCCTATTAAAATACTGAAGTAATAAACTTTTGATAGAAGAAAATTAATTATGGAAAAAAATGATGAAAGATTTCTATTTTCTGACTGAGTTTTAGGAACTTAAGTATCACATTTCATTCATCTTAACTTTTTAGTTAGAAGCCAGAAAGCGAAAACTGCTGCGTAACTATCAGTACTTTGTTTCACCAATACGACTGATGGTACATAACATTCCGGCATCAGTAGATGACAGAAAACTAAAAGGAATATTCCTCCAAGCTGTTGGAGATACCAAATCAAGAATCACAGAGGTGATGAAAATATGTTAAGGTTATTATAGTACTCTAAAATTAAGTTGGTTTATACCACTCTTCATTTTTTGTACATGAGAATTTGACTACATTTTTGAATTAAGCATGTGTTGGTACCTCAGTAAAATATAGTGAATATACAAGACTTGTATATAATGATTTGACAAAAAAAAATTTTATGTAATATTTTCAGGGTATGCTAGTAAATAGTATATCTAGTTAAAAATCAAAAGTTTTAAATCTTTTGCAATGTTTTACTCAATTTATAGTTACTCTATTACATTTGGCATTATCTTTTTTTTTAAACACTTATAGATTACTTGTAATAAGAGTTACTAATTTTTTTACATTGTGATATCCATAAGAATAATTAAACAAACAGTGCCTCATAAAGAGTAGTGTAGTCTCTATTATAGTAACTAGTACAACTGTTTGATATTGTATTGATATAGTTTATTGATATTTTATTATTTACTTTTGTAATTCATTTTTAGGCAAGAGTGATGCGTAATTTAAAACAGGTTGATACTAAAAAGCAGGGGAAATCAAAAGGTTTTGGTTTTGTTGCTTTTACGGAACATGATCATGCTCTCAAAGCTTTGCGGGAGCTGAATAACAATCCAGATATTTTTACTGTAAAAAAGGTTAGTACAGTATTTACTGTAAAGGAAATTTAAAATCGTATTTTCACTTTGTCTCTTCTTATTTTAATTATTCCTGATCAACTGGTTGTTTAAGCTGCTATACATTTTCAAACAATAGTTTGAGTTTTAAATATTTTAAGTAATACTTTTTGTGTTATGAGAAAACTCCAGTTTTTAGACTAACAAATTAAGAAATTTGAATAATATGAAATATCAATCGACAATTAATTTTATAAAATAAAAATACCATTGCACAAACTATTTTTGAATGCAGTGGATATGCTACCTTTGATGGATTTAAAATATATGTAAACATAAACATTTAGTTAGTTTTTTTTAGAATTGTCAGATTCCTAATGTTTTAAGGTTTAACTCTTTTGTTTCCTTTTTTTTGTCAAATGAAGAGTGTCTACAAGTAATAAAGTGTAATGACATTTGCTGTAATAAAGTGTAATGACATTTGCTGTAAAATAAATACTAGCTATTCTGTATGATGGTTAGAACAAAAAAATTATATTTAACAAGGTTATTTTATTTGTCGTCTAATGAATATTTGTAATAACTCCACACCTATATATTAATTACTGCTTTACTTTTTCAGAGACCAATTGTTGAGTTTTCAGTGGAAAATAGAGCTGCTTTGAATGCAAAGGCAAGAAGGTTAGAGAAAAGTAGAGAGAATTTAAAAAAAGTAAGTTTTGTAAGGTTCAAAACAAACTAGAAAAATTGAAATATGTGTGATAAATAAAATGCTTAGGAATACAAAAGAATTTTTTTTCTGATATAAACTGTTTTTCCTGTGAATTAGAATAATTTTGTCTTTTTTTTTTCTTATATTTGTGTCTGTTTTCATAGTGAGTTACATAATGTTTTAATATCAGTTTGTTCATTATTCTTTAACAAGATGCCCTTTGCCCAGTGACTCTGTGGTAAGTCTGAAGGATTATAATGCTAAAAACCAATTTTTGATATACGTGGAACCTATTGTGTAACTTTGTTCTTAATAACTAACAAACTTTACCAAAACACTAGAGACATCTTTGGAGTACTGGGTTCAGATATTCAATACATAATAAAGAAGTAACACTTTTTAAAAGCACTTGTGAAGAAATAAAATTAGAGAACAAATAGAATGAAAAATTATTAACTTTAATGTAGTCTTTTAATGTATTGTAATCAAAGTGTTCCAATTGATTGCAATTTCAAACAATATAATATTTTGTTTGTCTGATCTTATTACTTATTCTCGAGGCTTTATGAAATAAAACCAATGTGATGTTTGTTAATATAATGTGTTTCAACCCAATTCATTCAGTTCTTGTATTTCTGAGTATGGCTGTCAGTATTTTGTTTTTACATGATCATATCTTAGTGACAAAATTTGGAATTCTGGTGAAACCTTTTTGTAAAAAAAACTATCTAAAGTAGTTGTAAATGTACCTTTAGAAATATGTCTACTGTAAAGTAAACCAGTGTAACTAAAATTAAAGACCACAAATTTTATAATTGATGTATGGATGAAAACGTAGCTTCTGTTAGAAAAAATAATACAGAATATTTGTTTCAGTGTCTTGTTAGAATCGATCAATGGTAATGCATCACTGATTTTACTGTTGTTTGTTTACATTATTTTTGTTGCAGTTCTTTTTGAGTATCAACAATGTCTGTTTAAGCATTTGATAAACACTATTTTACAGTGTTCTAAAATTAGTTAATCATGATTATAATAGTATGATGATAGAAAATAGTGTGTTAAATATTTATTAAATAGTGTAAAATTATTATTATGTGTACACTTTAATTTGATAAACTTCTCCTGTTTTTATCATAGCAAGGTGAAGGAGGACCACGACTTGCTAAGGTTCCTCGGAAATTTAATAAAAAGGAGAAGAAAAGTTCTCGGATGCCTCCACAGAAACATGCTGAAGACGGTAAATCTTATATGGGATCAAAAGCAAAGGAAGGAATGAAAGGACTCTCAAGTCATTTTGGACCAAAAATTCGACATAAACGACCAAAACTTCAAACTGATAACCTTGAGAAAAATCCTAAACGGAGAAGACTAGAAATGGTCACTGCTTCAGAAGTACATATAAGAGATAACCATGTATTTATTCTTTATAACCTTTCAATTTAGAATAATTTCTAGTACTAATTAAAAATCTGTGAGCATGGTTTCCTTTATACAACACTACACAGGTTTTTATGTAAATAAAGTCACAAAAACTTTTACCAATTATTTTACACAAGTGAAGTAAGAACAGTATTTACTTTTATGGTATTGTTTTGGAGGTTAACATATGTTAAAAGCTAGGAATTTAAACTTATGCGCATTATATAAAATTTACACACGTGACCTGTTGTTGTTAGAAGTGTAATCAAATGGTGGTAATTTATTTCACTATTTGTTTAACAAAAAGAAGAAAAATTTGTAATCATAATATCAAGTCATTTTATGCTAGTCTTTATTTCATATAGAAATCTTTTAAAGTTAAAGGAGAGAAGGAAGTGTTTCTGAGGCAATATAAAATTAATTTTAACAATAACTTGTTGTTCTAAGCCATTAATTCCCCATCTATAGTATGAACTCTAACATGTAGGTAGAACATTATTGTTTTATGATAAATAAAAAATATTTATATTTGAGCGTATAGGTCTAAATTATTTATCACTTTGTGTACTTGAAATTGGCATTATTTTCTTCCACTGTGAGCCATTGTATTTCTAATTTACTATTCACTATGTGAATTGCTAGGAGAGGCTAGAAAAGATTACAATTTTTTGTTGTTGTAAAACATCTGTCATCCAACTTATTACACCAGTAAATTTCTGATTTACCTCAAAGCAAGAAAAATTATATTTTTGGCATGTTCGATTTCAAAATGGATTCATTCAAATATAATTTCTGTTGTGAATACATTAAAGATACTGCCGATTTATCTGTTCATACGTATCTTTTTGAATCAAACTTTTATAAAATTTTGAAGTTTAAAAACTTTTTTGTAATTTGTAGGAAGACACAAGTGTTAAAAAGAAACAAAAAAAGAAGAATCAAAGAAGAAAATCTAACAATCCTCAACAAAATGACAACTTTTCTCGTCTTGTGGAACAGTATAAACAGAAACTGATGACTCCTGAAATGGTCTCTCGAAGATCAAAGTGGTTTGAAGAATCCTAGAAGATCCATAAACAAATACTAAATGAGGTACAAGGAAATATAAAAAACAAAATGTTTACATGCTAGAAGTGATGATGAATTTATAAAATCAAATGAGATCTAAAAGTGTATTATATGTTGGAAATAGTAGTATAAAATATTTGTGACAACTTAATGTAAATGAAAGTAGGCCTATACTAAATTGTAGTAATGGCTTATTACATTCATTCAGATTGTAATGTTAAATGTAGGTCATGTGGATAAGAATATATCTATGACATGTCTGTTGTTTTTAATCAACTTATAATGAAAGTATTAAAGTAGATTGCAGGGTCTGAAAAAACATATATCTAAATTTGAAAAATAATAAATACTTCAATTCTTATCAAAATAATGGTGTAATGGATTTTAATTAAACACTTCAATGTGCTGATAAAGGCCATAAATACATTTGGTATATTGTAGAGAAAAGTCATCTTTTTTTCATTTATATGACTTGCAGTAATTTTGGTGGGAGTGGTTATTGTCTTGAATGTTTTAGTAAAATTCTCAAAATCACATGTACATTTTTGGGCTTACAGTTATTATCATTACTGGTTAACAGTGGCATTAATCATATTTGTTCTAATTTGAAAGCTGTAGAAATCTTATAAAGATATATTTTCCTTTTAGTTTCCAATATTTTGATACTTTTCCTTTCTCTTTCAGGATGGTGACAAATTGGGAAACTTTTATGATTCTTTAAAGTATATTAAGCCATTAATACACAACTTGCTTGTACATATGGAACATTAAAATCGTTTATCAGTCTCATTCTGGTCCTTATTCTTAACTTTGCTTTATAAAAACAGCTTTAACATGCTAATACGTTTCTGTTTCACTACATGTCTAGTACATGCAGTACATGTATATATTTGGTTCCCAGCCATGTGAACATGGGAGAATTATGATTGCGGGAGAACATTCACAGCCTTTTCCAATGAAAGATATTCATACAGTATAGTACAGACTGTGGTTACAAAAGAAAACCTCCAACCCAAACATCATAGTGATAAAGCTAAGTTTATTTCCTGGTTTTTGTCAATGAGATAATGTACAATATTTTAAGTTGATCAAAGTTCCAAATCAAAAGTCCACAAACATCTAACCTTGCCTCAAATTCCCTTAAGATTGAGTATGATTGACAATAATGTAGTTTTAAGGGTAACATGGGATCTGGGACATTGTACTTATAGATTGTGATTAATTCTTAATACAGTTCTATGTTTCTTAACTTATTTTGTTAAACTTCTTAAAAACCATTTGAAGCTTATAAAATGTACAAATTGTTCTTAATAACCCTTGCTTACTAAATTGAAAAACTGATATGTTATTTTCAGAAGTATGTATCGCAGCCCTTTCTTTAATGTTTAATTTAGTCGTTGTAATTTCACAAACACAAATTAATACAAAATTTTGATTTAGTATTGTGAATATTTTAGAATGGTGGACTTTTCTCTTCTGAAAACAAACAAAAAATCTTCATGAGACTTATATCATTATGTTTTTTAAATGTAATGTAAAATATGAGTAATCTTACATTTGAAACTCCACTTATAAGCTGCATGAATTAAATTTTGACCATCAACTATTTATCAAACAAATGTTACTTGTAGCCCAGTTAGTAAGTTCATTTTTAGACTTGTGGAAAAGGAGGAATTGAAATGATGAAAAAATTTCAGTGTTGATATCACTTGAACTGTTTTGGTAAAAGTTCTTGGTTAGGTTAATAAATTGTTTTACATTTAGTGAAAGCTAGCAAACATGTGAAACGTAATTTATTTAAATACAAGATCTAACTAAAAAGCACAGACTAAGGACATGAAGAAATAATTATGTATCAAGGGTTTCTGTATGTTGTACAAGAATTCTTACATCCATACATATATAGAAAATTAACATTAAATGATTTCTAGAATGGGTGACAGCACATTTGCTGAAGGAAGTTATAAATTGGAAATCTACTTTTTATAAATCTCTTAATTATAAAAATAATTATAAAATATTTTCTATAATACTTATCATTGGTTTGTTTGTTTATAATTTCCCAGCACTTCTTTACCTGATCAGTAGGAAAGTGGTCAATCATGTTATAAATTTGATTTCTATTTTTAAAAGAAACCAATCTTTGATCTGTGTAAAGATAGTTTGCTTTTAGTTATTAAGGTTTAAAAACAAAATATACTCACATTTTTACATTATTAGTTCATTGTTTCATGCCCCATAATACTCACCAGATGGCAGAACAAGATCAGCTAGCATGGAAATACTAGTTGTTTTATGACTGGGAGTAAGTGGTAACTTCTAATAGTCATTTTCATATACAACCTTGTGTTTAACACTGATATGATTTTTTAAATTTACATCATTGTTTTTTCTACAGAATGAATAAGAAAAACAAACTTATAATGTGTTGAATAATTTGAAGTTTGTAATTTGATAGTTATTCCAAATATTGTCCCTTTTAAATTTGAATCTCAATATTGAACTTTTATACATTGAAGGTGTTAAAGACAATACCTTAAAATAATGGTGAAACAACAACAACCACGAAAACAATTTTATGTTTGCAGACAACATACAATAATGTAAACTTTTTTTTTACATTTTTATAATAAAGTTTAATATACTTATTTTCTCCACACAAAAAATTGTAATATTTTATGTATAGTTATACTGGTAGGATAATTATCAGTAACTGATTTCACTTTATTATTTTCATATGATGGAAGCTTTTCATGTTAATAAACTATTACTTACACATTTATACACAAAAAATATATATATATAAAAAGTATTATGAAAAATACCTTCATTAGATGATAAAGTTACAAGGCAATATTCTAGAGAAATTATACAGGAATTTAATCTTTACAGTACCGGAACACGCTAGTACAACGAAATGCCGTGTATAATTTTACCAGTATATAGTTTTATCGAAAAGGAAGTCTGGAGCAATTACGTGTTAATTCATGAAACAATTGATTCAGTACTAAACAAAGTTGTTAAATGTACGTGTGCGAGTTGGTTCTGTGGAAGAGGCGTTTATTTCGGAAATGGCGAACTAGGTTCGAATCCATGTAGTACCACAATATATTTCTTGAGCTTTGAACAGTGGATGTGCTATAAGAGTAACAGTCAATCCTATACGATGGGTGATAAAGTGTTGCTTACTAGCTATCTTCTCTCTAGTTAGTAATTCAAAATTAGGGACAGTTGCAGAGAGTCTTTGCCATAGATATAAATACATAATTTATGTGTACATATGTCCCTATTGATACATTGGATGTAAATTTCTTACCATAATATTTATGTCTTTTTTTTTCTAGAGAGCAGATTAGTATAACGATAATTTAAGTTATACGTCATGTATTTTTACATTAATTAATCGCTTAAAATATGCATCAACTTATTTTCTAGAATTATTTAAATGCGTTAAAGCTGACCGCTCTTACATATACATAAAATTGTATAATAAGTTATACCTAATTCGATATTTATTACTGAGGAAAACTATTTATAGACATTTAGAAGAACGAATAAAAGTAATATATTTTGTATTTATGGCAAGGATACTAAGCCTATCACTCGCCGTCCATAATTTTGAGCAACAGACCAGAAGGAAGGCAGCCACCAATCACGTTAAAGGATTGACTCTCGCTCATATAAAAATAAAATGGGGGCTAGAAAATTTGGTCCCCTTGCGATCTCCTGTAACGAGCAGTAACCCAAACATTTTGAAACTGATTTGTTGCCTTGCTAAAGGAAGACGCAGTTGTGCAGACAAAAATTGCGCATTAGTTTTTTGAAGGAAATCGCGCATAATCTTATTACGTTTACTTAACTTTAACATTATGCTTTTTGACATTAAATTTTTAAATCTAGGCTTATATTTTTTTTAATATTGGCATACCAAAAAAGGCATGTATATTGTTAATTATTCTATGACCACAACTTATTATTTTTAAGTGTAAATCTTCGTCGTACCTAATGTTCCTGGGACCAATCTTCCTAATACCCAGTAAAAGAAATTTCTTGGAAACATTCATCAAAATATTTATGCTCGGACATTTTTGTTTTTTGTTTTGTAGAATTCTTTTCTTGTAATTGAGCTTAATCTAAGTGTTCATTACTCAGGATTTACAAGTGAACATGTGTTATAGGTTGTTTTTGTAATTTGTTAAATTATAACTGGTGTTTTAGCTTTGAACGAGTAAGTTAATGAAGGAATGCGTCCTGGCTGAAAAATCAAACGTGTTTTAATTATAGTGTAAAATGGTTAACTAGGAAGTTAGAATCTATCATTTGTTTGTTATTAAACACAAAACTATACTATGCTCATCACGAGTATCGAAACCCGGTTTTTAGCAGCGTGAGCTCTAAGACTAGCCGCAATAATTCTTTATCAGTAAGTGTGATTTCTGTTTTAGAGGTTGTTATGGTTACTTAAGTGTTTTTGGCAGATGAGATAAGACAAGGTTTTTGGGTCTAGTCCGACAGTTGCTCGTTTTTGATACTGAAAGTGTGCCAATAGTTTGTTACAATTAAGTTTTACAACATTTTGCCTTGGGCTGTATCTTTATACATAAAACCCATTACAAACGCCGAATATTCCATTACCACATCAGAAGTTCATATGAGGTTTTGATCAAAGGTTCTGATTTATGTTGGGATTTGTTTCTGTTAATGAAATACAAAAATTTATCGACATCCAAAATAAACTATATAGCAAATAAGTAAATTTATACATCTCATACAACAAAATTTGATACATATTGATGTTTCCGTCTTGAGTGAGCACTCTGGTTCGCGTCCGATTACCACCAGAAAATCGTTCTCGCCGCTTTGGACATATGGTGCGTTATAAGAGTGACGGCAAGATCCCATTATTCGGTTTCACAAGATTTGGTGATGAGTGGTATTTACTATTCGCCTTCTCTGTACTCAATAACTTCCAAATTATGGATGGCTAACGCAGAAAGACCTCGTTTAGCTTTGCACGAAATTCAACAAAAACAAACAAACTATTTGAGCTCACGATATGAAACATTTTTGAGGCATAAAGTTCAGATGTTTTAAAAGTCAGTTAGTTTTAACCTAAATTTCTCTCAGCAATTTATTTGACTTGTAATTATTCTCATTACTATTTTTAGCACACAGTGCTCGAGTCGTTACACATCTGAGAGCACTGGCTCAGTTTTCTAGAATGCTGTCCCATTTGAAAGGCGTTATTAATGGACTGCATCTGTCTAGGAAGTTTTGGACGACGTTTCGAGCTGATAGCCTTTCAAGTTTATATACTCTCCACTGTCTAAACCTTCTCTTAAGCAAGAAATATCGGACCATTAATAAGACGCTCACTTGTATATTGCTCATCTAAATACAACACGTATACTTCAAGTCTTTGCGTTTATACAGAATAATATGGGATATAGTGTAGCTCTAACTGTCTAATGATGTGTGGAAATACTGAAGTACGAACATTGGTGTCAGTCAGTAATGATAAAGGTATGATATGGTTACACTGCAGTCGGTCAAGTAGGGGAAAATGTACACCGTGTTCCAGCATTGGTTTCAGTCCATAAGGAGAAAGATGGTCTGGATCAGTCAGCAAAGAAAAAATAAACAGTGTGTGTGTGTTGATGTCTAAGGTCTGCGAGGCTCAAGCTTAAAAGTTTGAATATCCCTGTTGTAGCCTCTAGGCCTTTTCCTGAAATTTCTTCCCTGGAGGAAGTATCAGTTTTGTTTGTCATAATCACACAAAAGTGTCACGCGTACACTTAGAAACAGTATATGCAGTGGGTAATATAACACATGCAACAATCCATTAAAGGAGATGATCAATAGTGACAAAATATAAAAATGTGAAAGTATACTAACTGAAAATGTTGTGCTGATATTATTGTTCCAGTTCTAATTAATGATTTTACTTCCAAACCTTAGAATCATATAAGTGTACGGAAATAATCATATAGTAAAAAATTTAAAATACAGTTTCACGTTGTGGTCAATCAAGGATTTGAACAAGCTTTCTCTATATCCAGGAATGTAAATGTTTTTGGAGTGTCAAGATAATATATTTAAACCGTAGCAAAAATATATCTACCGAAAAATAACCTTGTAATTTTGGTGTTGTCCGTAAATATTTAAATCAACCATACCTTAAAACTGTTTACAGTCTACACCAAACATTAAATAAAGCAAGTTACAAAAATATTGTGAACATATACAAGAAATATACTGTAATAAAAGCAAGTCCATTAGGAAAAACAAGGCGTTATGAAAAGCAGACATTGAACTGTCCAAGGTATCTTCCGTACATAAAGCTCGAGTTCTCTGCATTATATCATTCTAAGTGATGATACTTTAATAACGTTCCTCTAATTCAGAGAAATAAGCCAAAAAGAATTTAGTTTCAGAGTTTTCAAAACACTTTCTCTCTTTTAAAATCGCTGAAACAAACAGGAACCGAGTTTTATTGTAATTTCATAAATGTTTTCCGAACTGAAAGTGAGGTCAGAGGGAACACTCCTTAATCCCCTTAACAACAAGTCACAATTTACTAAGTTTGCATTTCGTCGTAGTAAACAAGAGCTTAACACTGCTACTCCTAGTTACTTGTTGAAACGTGTAAGTCACAATATATGAGCTTGTTTGTGAAATTAGGTCCTCCACTAAGTATTGTATATGTTTCAGGTTTTCAAAACAATAGTTTTGGTCTTACAATAGTTCATACCGAGCCTTCTCTGGATTTACTGTACAAATGTTCCAAGTTCGCTTCTTTTGGATCTCGGGTTAGGGAAGTGGGACGCGTTTGAATACTTACTTGCTTGGGAAAAATATCGGGATTTTTCGAAGATACATCAGGAATCGCCGATTTAACAAGCTTTACATTTGGCACGGCTGAAAACTTCAAAAAATTCTTACAAATTTCACCTTGGGTTTCTTCCAAATTCTCCTCGTCGACCTCTTTGATTTCATCAAAAGTCACGGGTTGTGTACGATATCGATTACCTCTTCGATTCCGGATATTTCTTTTCTGGCTTCGTTTGTAACACTGAGGGAAATCTGTTACTGACGATCTGTGTAACCATGATAAGGGTTCCGGGTAAGTAGTTTCAAGAATGTGGTACACTCCTCCCTGGGGCGAAGTTTCTTTTGTCTGGCTGGACATCGTCTTCACCCAACCTGTTACAGTCGAATAATTATGCTATAAATTAGTTTGATTAAATAGAGCAAAATCTGTTCTATCTATCGGTCATCTATATATTCCTAAAAAGGCTTCAAAAACAAATAAAATTAGATATGAATATAATGCTGCATACACATGATCAACTACGTTTTTAAAGATTATTTCTAAAAATTTGTAATATTAATTGGAATACATGGCTAATTTTGAAATTTAAAAATAAAAAACATTGAAAGAGAATTTAATTAATTTTCTTTTCTTTTGTGCTGACTTGTTTTTCCAACTATAACTATGTCATAATCAAATGTTCCTGAGGTCTTATAACGTTAAACATCAAGTTTTGATACCCGCATTCGTTAAAGCACAGCTAGCCCATTGTGTAACTTTGTGTTTAACAACAAGCGTATAAACACAATATGCCCCCCAGTAGCACAGCGGTATGTCTGCGGAGTTACAACGCTAGAAACTGGGTTTCGTTACCCGTGGTGGGCAGAGCACAGATAGCCCTTTGTGTAGTTTTGTGCTTAACTACAAACAAACATAAACACAATAAAATTTGGTAACGGAAATTTAATGTTGATCGACTTAAATTAACTCATGTTTAAGTTGTTGTTTTTTATTCGTTGGACAAAATTATGTTTTTATAATCGTTATGTGTAACTGAGAAAACTATAGATGTAGTTTTTAAAAAAGAAGCTGCAAAATGTTGGAAAAAAAGAGATTTGATTTGATTTATTATAATTTGTAGTTATCACATATTTAGACAAAACCAAAATAAACATTATTATTAAATATGTAACAAGTGTTTCAGCATTAGCACGACAATAGAAATGGAGATATTTTAGCTGTCAGACTATGAAGAGGTTTAGATATTTTGAATGAAGCAATCTTTTTGAAAGCCAACATGACGGCGGTAAGGTAGAATGTATCAAGATGAAACATTTATTAGATTCAATTCCGAAGAAACGGGGTTAAGCACGTTTACATTTGTAGTATACGTTTCAATAATTCGGCAGTAGTAAAAAAAAAATGAACACGTACAAGCTTTTCCATTGAAATGATCTTGCTAAAGATTGAAGAAATGAAATTAAGTACGCCTACAGTGGTACCGTGAGGCCCGGCATGGCCAGGTGGTTAGGGCTCTCGACTCGTAATCTGAGGGTCGCGGGTTCGAATCCCCGTCACACCAAACACGCCTTTGCCTGGTCCCAAGTCCAGGATGAGAAAGGGGGAGGGTTGGGCGCGGGGCTAGCAATTCCACCCCGTAAAAAAAACAAAACAACCTACTACAAGTAACTGCAACAACACCTTCCGTTGGTGAGGTGTTGTTGCGGCCCTATGCTCCACTGGGAGTTTACAGGAATAATTTTAAAGAAAACCCGGTGCTGTACAGTAGTAGGAGAAACAAGTACAAGCTTTCTTTTGAAATGATTCTTGCTAAAGATTGAAGAAATGGAATTAAGTACGCCTACAGTGGTGCCCTACAGTAGTAAGAGAAACAAGTACAAGCTTTTCCTTTGAAATGATCTTGCTAAAGATTATTGCTTCGACGAACAGTTCGGGATTAGTTGGTAGGCAAAGTGCCAAGGAAGCAGAAAGTGTTTATATATCAGGAGCTCTGCTTCGTGGTTATTTATAGACACGTGCTCCTTACAAGCAACGCCATTTTTTTACGTTGTATTGCTTAAATAGTTGTAACTTTATTACAGATCATAAGTTGTTGTTGTTTTTTTGTTTTTTTTACACATGAGTAAAATGTTTCAGGAAAAGTGCATTGACTTAATCATGTATATACAAAATGAAATGAAAAAATTACAAGGCTGGCATTTGTTGCAATCTATGCGATCCAATATTTTGAATAAAACAAAATTCGTCACAACTTCTTAACATGCACGCTACATTGAAGGTCAGTGAAAGATATGATCCCTATACGATAAAATATTTTTCTTAGTTTATTGTTTTTCGAAATATACACTAATATTATGATTTCCATTATTAAGTTCATTTATTTTCAAACAAATTAATTTTATTTTCTAGTCTATTTCGATACTTGATATGTTTATAAGTCAATGTTACATAGTACGACTCCATAAATAAATTCTACATCCTCTTTACACTTTGTAAAAAAAAATAATAAAGTTTTGGCAAGTTCTATTTTATAAAATCACTTGTTGCACCAGTATCCTAAACAGTTTGCACTGTAACGTTAAAAGTATGTTTTGTAAAATACATATTTCTGCTTTTGTTGAAATGAATCCAGCATTCTTTTGTGTTGCCGAGTAGAAAGCTACACAAAACTGGTTTTCTATGCTGTGTCCACCGCCAGATTCGAAATCCGATCTTAAGTGTTATAAGGACTCAGACTTACCGCTGAGCCACTGGGGGCCTTTTCTATTCGAAATTTCTGTATAGGCTAATAGAATGAACTGGTGATTAACATTTAAAAATCTATTAAGAGACTCGCCAACGCAAAATAGGAACTTATTTAACTGATTGTCCTCTTTTAATTTAGTTTTCTTTTATATTTTGTTTTACATAATATAAGTAATACAAATACTGTTGGTGGAATTACTTCAAAGGATCAACTAGTAGCTAATTTATAACTAATTTAAAATGTTGGTATACTGATTTTCCAAGCCCTATCAATATTGGACTTTAAAGAGATTATTGAGGACGTCGAATATCTTTCAGGTAAATTTTATTGTAATCTATGCCATCTAGTGTTAAGAAAGTACAGAGGTAAAGAAACTTTAGGTAATATATATATATATATATATATATATCACTAAAATTTTGTTATTCTGGTACTTGGATTTATTCATTTCAACTTTAAAGGATACATTTATCGCTTCACTTAGAAACTAGGAAATCGGTGGTACTGTTAAAGCATTTAATTCATCTTGAAAGTTAGAGCTATTTATGTAACCAACCAGTCAAATCAAAGAAATGCCTACATGTATATATAAAACACTAAAATAATCCATTGAACAGAACGATTGCTCACGTGTTTGTACGCATGTATAGATAGATAAAAGTTTAGAACTGAGAGTATTGGTGTAACTCACTTAATTTTGAACAAGTAATCATTCGAAGAGCTATTACTTAAGTCTGGAGAGATACGTAAAGTTATGAATGTGGGCGTTTGTAGCATACTGCTGAAATAGACATCTGGTATATCTCCTTGGTGTACTGAAGAGGTAAGTTGGCTTTAACACAAAAATGACAGTGTGCGAGAGAAGTATTTTTTATTTTACTTTTTGCATATGCAAGCCTGTACTTTGTATCATCATGTAAAATAGAAACTTTCAGAGATGGAAATAGACAAGTTATGGACCACTCCAGAAACTGCATATATGATTATGAATCTGCTCTATAGACCTATTAGGCTGTTGATCCTAAATGATAGCTTTAATTTGCTTTAACTTATGTTTTGCAGAATAGTTTGAGTAGCACATTAGAATATTATGTTAATGTTTATATATAGATTTAAATATCTATGTTCTGAAGACTTATTAGACTACACTGTAAGAACAACATAATCATTCTAGGCTAATAAAACAGAACACAAATGTTTTGGCTGAGGCAAAAAACTTGAAGAGTTTTGCATTGTATTCTATACATTCTTCACACGCATAATAACAATGTGCTTTCACAAAGAGCAATTTATTTAAATAATCACAGTTTTAAACTGAAATCCGCAAGTTATTTCTGTGTTTAGACAGCTAACATAAGTTGTACGTTCATATCATTACAACAGTTTTTGTATTTGAGGAAGACAATTCGTGTTGTTGTTAAATAACACAATATTTGTGTTAACACACAACATTTCAGCAACGTAATAATCCTTTTAAGGTAACGCGGCTTCGATTTTCTCCGTTTGCTGGTGTATTAGAGAGGTAGTTTTGAAATAAAATGTTTATCTACGTAATATGGATATGAAATTCTTTATCATATTGATTTATTAAATTAATAATTTTGAGTCTAAGAATCACATAGTTGAAGCTTTTATTTACCTACCACTTTATTAATCTTCAAATTACCAACTTGTTTTTATACCTTTCACTACCATATATATATTACATTACATGAAGATGATGCTATAAATAGTGCTCTGTCTGTCGATCCGGCTTGGTATTGAGCGAAAGGCCTCGTCGACACTGGATATGACACTCGTAGGGTAGTTGACATATTATTACATATTCTTTACTTTCATATATAAGTTCTTAGAATTATACTGAGTAATTTTATATTTTGGCCTGTTACAACACTCAGTTCAAACAGTGACCAAAACATGTGTAAAACACACGAAGAACCACACCAGTAGTTAGTGGGATCAATTCCAGTATTGGTGGTATTTTCATCTAACGAATTGGAACAACGTCAGCTACAATATGACGGCTGTTTTTTTTTTTTGTTTTGTTTGTTTGTACCTACTATTAAAAGAACGGTAATAAGAAAATATGTTGCATATACCAAGCATGGTACAATTGCTAGCGTGCAGAACTGTGGATCCATGGTTTTTGTCCCTTTGCCGTAAAATCATGCTGTCATTGGTGTGTTATAAAAATTATGGTTAAATCCTTCTCATCGATTAGAGTAGCCCAAGAGCTGGCGGTGGGTGCTGTAAATTAGTTACGTTCCCTGTAGTCTGTCATTTTAAAATTATGGATGGCAAACGCAGAGAGCCTTTAAGTAGTACCTTTGCATAAATATTCCGAAATAAAACAACAAGTTAATTAAGTTAACATTCCTGAAAAATGATGTTAGTCATGTGGTTGTGACTTCCGCTGTTCAGTAGATTTATTGATTATTATCTTGAAATAAAAAGTTAATCCACGTACCTGGATAGGACTTTCGCTTCTCAACAGACTTGTTAGCTTACTATCCTGAAATAAAAAGCTAATCCACGTACCTGGATAGGACTTTCGCTATTAAGAGATTTGTTAGATTAATTTCCTAACATAAAGGGTTAAACCCGATGCAAATGTTTATCGTTGAATTGACTTACTTGGATAGAAATTCAAAACGGTATAATCTTAACCTACGATCATAAATATGATATTTTCTATTTTATAGATTTAGTAAATTAACGGTCCTGAACAATGATGTTATTCTAAGTACACGAATATCACATTTTTTGTCGTTTTGATGAACAACCTTTAACAATAACCTTTACTGAAATGTACTTTTCAGTTTTACTGAAAGTACATTTGTGAAATTCGTATTAGTAGATAGATCATTATAATACTTAGTGATTATTATAACCATTAAATTAAGTACAGGAAGCATTATAGATAGATACAACAAATTGTGCCTTTTCTGCATTTCTTCATGATTTTTCAGCAAATAACGACGACCCATGACGCAAACATGAAATGCCTTTATGAAAGGGTATGCCACTGTTTGTTTAAGATTTTCCTGCAAAACTACACAAGAGTTATTTGCTCGTAGCCGCCCCTAGTTTTGAACTGATAGACTAAAAAGAAGACAGTTAGTCAAGAATACCCTTATTAGACTACTCTCTGTCTGACAGAATAGTGTGATTTTGCTGTCACTCTGTTTCTGCGGCTGTTGGACACGAACCGTGAAGCCTCGGATTCACAGTCCGGGCCTTTTCCGGCTCGAGTATCTCATTCTATATCAGGTTTTGAACACATTAAAAAACAAATGGCCAAATACGGTATCGGATTGGAGATTGATATGTGGAGTGAAATATTAGCCAAAGAAATGTCCGAAGATTGAAATTGATCAACAATTCAATGTATATTTCTTTACATAGAGACTATAAAACTGGATAGATAACATAGGCCTGCGAATTTAAACTTCATAAAAGTTTTTTT